CCATTGTTGATATTGCGTCGCACTCTCTAATACGTCTAGAATACAACAACGGAGATTGTGGGAGGGGCATTATTGAAATAATTGATATTATTGTCTGGATTTCTGAACAATGTTTTCTAGAGGCAAATTTATTCTTGTTAACTTAAGTTAAGATACTGCGATTGTCTTCATTATAGAACATCCTTCTATTGATCTAATTTAACTTATTTTAATTGATATTATTGCCTCAATTAATGAACAATGTTTTCTACAGGAAAATTAATTCTTTTCACGTTTACATATTTTAAAATTGATATAAAAAAAAAAAAAATTGGACTTGAGCTTAATTGACATTTATTAAGTTAAAATATCATATAACTTGAACTTTTTTTTTTGTTTTGGGAAAAAAATGATATTTTAACTTATAAATGGCAATTAAGTTGCCTACGTATCCCTTATATTGGGAATCAAAGTCCACGTAGTTCTTTCGATTTACTTACCTGTACACGATTGATGGTCTCTAATAGTCATACTCGTCATCTCCTATTCCGGTTCCACCACTCGTCGTACTCGTAAAATCAGATGCGTCATCGTCGTCGTCTGCTTCGTCATCTACGTACATAGCTGTTTGCATCCTTCGTTCGGCTTTTTTCCAATCCATCAGCAGCATTTGTGCTTGTAGGTTTTCGGGCGTCAGCCGCGATCGTCGTGCGTCGAGCATATAACATCCCTCGCTGAAGGCTTGTTCGACCGCAACTGTAGATGCTGGGACGGCGAAAATCTCCTTGGCCATCAAGCAAGGAATAGGATAAATACCTTGCATTCTCGACCACCAGTCCAAGACATCGAAATTGAGTGGCGGACTTGGTTCACGAGCAATCGTAAGTATCAAATTCGACGTTAGGTAGTGATCAAGCTCATAGTATCCAGTTCCCTTTGCCCTTTCAACGCCAACATTCTTGTAGGGATTTAATGATGCCCACCACTCATGAAAGTTCGAAGCGCCTACTTAACTACCGCCGCAAGAAGAAGACCCGCTGCTGCTGCCCCTGCCGCCACGAACGAATGTGCTGGGAGGTTCACCTTGTGCAATCGCTGTTTCCTTAAACATGTCATACAACAAATTTTTTGCTTGCTCGACGAGCAGCAGTACGTTAGGTTTTTGACTGTATGTTGGGACATCAGTCGGGATTGGGAGTTCATACATATAATTATAATACATGTTAAGCTGCTCTACCAAGCGAGCTTCACGTACCGAAGGATCTAACAAACATGCAACTAAATGTGTATCAGAAATGAAATAATAATATTTCAACCATTTCTTTAACATTTCCTCAACATAATAGCCATATTTATTAAAATTTAAGTTGTAAAGATCCTTGAAAGCCCACATTATGGCTATAGCTTGACCTAACACAAGCTGAGCAGTAGGATAATAAACACCAGAAAGCATGTTAGTGGCATTTTGAAATGTTTCTAAAAATTGAATAAGTGCATTACAGTTCTCCCAATCTCTTGTTGACACTCGGACATCACAGTCCTTACGGTTTGAATGGTTAAAAAAATCCTGCAATTGTGTCACAAACGGAACCCTGTCACTCAACATTTTAAATGTTGAGTTCCATCGGTTAGGAACGTCGGGTTGAAATTTTTTAGGTTTCACCCCTTGATCTTTACAAAAACGTCCCCATGCTTTCATTTCATGGGGACGTTTATGTAAATAATTAACAGCGTCCCTAATTGGCGTGACCGAATCTTTAAAAGCATGATAACCAGCTTGTAC